ACATTCCCATCAATTCAGGGAAAGTAAGCAAAATTATATAAACTGGCACTAGAAATGCCACTAGTGATGAGTGTGCACGTGTGTATTCGTGATCCGGAAAGGGAGCATGACATGAGCAGGTCATACAGTTAAGTGAAAAGGTTAGGCTCTAAATCCACGTCTCCGTACAGCGGGATGTGTGTGTATTTATTTACATATGTTTGCAGTGACATGCATGTATACCTTCTTCTTTCTCTACGTTGATTGAGTAGAGTATATATTATTTTTACAGTCAGAAAAGCAAACTATTTTTAAAGATTTTTATTTATTCGGGGTACCTGGGTGGCTCAGTCGGTTAAGTGTCTGCCTTTGGCTCAGTTCATGATCCCAGGGTCCTGAGTTCGAGCCCTGCATTGGGCTCCCTGCTCTGCAGAGAGCCTTCTTCTCCCTCTCCCTCTGCCCTGCTGTTCCCCCTGCTTGTGCGTGCTCTCTCTCGCAAATAAAAGAATAAAATCTTAAAAAAAAATTTTTTTTATTTATTTGAGAGAGAGAGAAAAAGCACAAGCCGGGGGGAAGGGCAGAGGGAGAGGGAGAAGCAGACTCCCCACGGAGCAGGGAGCCTGATGTGGGACTCGATCCCAGGACCCTAGGATCATGACCTGAGCCAAAGGCAGACACTTAACCGACTGAGCCACCCAGGTGTCCTGGAAAAGCAAACTATTTTTAAAGCATGTGTTTATTCCACAGGCACAGATTTATTTTGTGAAGCAACATTGGGGTTGTCCCAGTCTTTGGTTCCTGCCTGATCGTGTAGAATCAGACAAGGTCAGAACTCATAAGACCTAGTCTGCAATCTTATTAGGCATCACGGCCCAGAGAAGGTAAGTGACTGGCCGAGGGTCACACAGCCAGTTTGGCCCGGAGATAACAGAGCCCCGTCTCCTTGCTCTCATCCCAGAGTACATTGCTCTCCTCTAAGCTTGACTATGAATTGTCGTCTGGGGTTGTTTGGGGCTGGATGGCCGGGGGGTGGGGGGGTGCTTTTTAAATGCCCCATTTTCTGGGAGCCCAAGTCCAGGCAAACCCAAGATGAAAGATAAAGGGCCCTGGATGAGACAGTGATTAGTGGGGAGGAGCCTGACCCGCACAGGCAGAAAAGCAGCCTCAGTAGGGCCTGGGTCCGCAGCTGCGGGGCAGGAGGGAAGGAAGAGCCTGGCCCGGGGCCAGGAGGCTGTAATTAAAGGCAATGCAGGCCTGCAAACAGCCCATTAAAGATGTTTGCCCTGCATCAAACTCAACCCTTCTGCCACTTTCCACATCAAACACTTGGGGATTTTATACACTTTCCTGCATGCTCAGGTGATCACAGGGAGCCATGGTGCACAGCGCTTGCTGGCCTTGCCCCTTCTTGCCCGCCCCCCCCCCCCCCCCCGTCTTCCAGAGTCCCCCCCACACACACTCCCCCTTTCCTCCCTGACCCAGCCCCACCCAGCCTCTGTGGGCCCCAAGTCATCTGCTCAAGGCACTTACCAACAGAGAGAATCGTCCCTCCCAGCTCCCAGGAAGATAAAATTCCTTCTGTTTCATTCAATGAGATAAGACTTCACAAGCTTTGAGGTTTGGAATCTTGGAGCCTTGGGATCTTAACCTTTGAGCTAAGATGATGCTTCATGCTTTAGGCCAGTCCTTTTAGGTCACAGGTGGAGAAGCCAGGGTTCTGAGATGAAGAGGTCTTGCTCAAGGTCATGAGCACGGGTGGCTGCCAGATCTCTAAGCTTCAGGCTGGAGCCAGCTCACAAAGTCAGGTGAATTAGCCTTGGCTTTGAACCCAAGAACCACTCCCCTCTTTCTTACTGACCTCCTCCCAAAAGCCTAGGTTGATGTCACTCCCGGACAGGGAGACCCTGCAAGAAGTCCAAGGAATTGGGCTGTCTGGGCCTAGACAGAAACGGGGCCTCAGTTTCTCCCCCAGTTTCTCCTTCCAATTTCCAGGCTAAATTTCACTCAGGCAGAGCGGCAGGGCAGCATGCCAACTCCGTTGTCCCACCCCAAAGCTCAGAAGTCCCAAACTGGAAAGTTCACAGACTTTGAAGAGGTGGACAAGCTCAGGAATGGTCCAACCCGCACAGGATGAGCGACTGCCAGAGCCGAGGGACAGGTGAGTCAGGGTCCCTGGGCATCCATCCAGACCCTGTCCATGAGTTATCTCAGTCACCCCCAGGGTCGCCCTGTAAGGAGAGGCCCCTGTCTTCATTTTACTGCTCCTGTGACCAGGAGATGAGCTGGCCTTCAACCCCAGGCCTACGTGGGTCTGAAGTTTCTCCCTCTGAAACTCAGGGCTCCTTCCTGGAAGTCGAGCCTGCTGGTGGGGCCTGTGGGAGGCAGAGGGTGTGGCATGGTTGGGGGGAGCACTGCAGGCCTTACCCCTGTAGATGCCTCTGGGAGCCCGGCACAGAAGAGAGCACCTTGGCCCAGGAGGCTCCTGCCCTCACCCAGGATAGGAGAAGCCAGCCCCAGACCAGTTGCAGTGAGCCCCGGGGTCCCAGCCCCAGCTCTGCAGCTTATTACCACGCACCTCGAGGGCACCCTCTCCGAGGCTCCGTTTTCTCATCGGAGGGCTGCTGGGAGGGTGAGAACAGGAGACCATGAGCCCAGTTCCTGTCGGCTTTCCTCTCCCTCTCCTCTGTTCTTGCCAGGCTTGTGACCTTTCTGGGCCTCAGTTTCTCCCACAGACCAGCTCCCAAATCTGTGTGCAGAAAGCCTCTTGGCTGAAGCCACTCCCACGCTGGACACCCTTGAGGTGCAAACCAGGAAAATTAGTGGGTGATCAGGTGTCACTGCCAGGGTAAGAAAGGCCACACCCCCTCTAGGATTCTGACTGTCCTGCCCGGCAGCGCCCTGAGATCCGCCGTGTGAACTCGGGGCTGGCTGGCTGCTCCTACACGCCGTCCACACGGTCTGCACACTGCGCCCCGAGCAAGCAAGAGCAGGCTGCCCCGGCATGGCAGGTGAGTGGGCAGGGCCTGGGGGCCTCGGGGCACAGGGCCTCCAAGGGGAGCTTCAGGAAACTGCACAATCCATGCACTGCTCCCTCATGCTCCCGAAGACATGGAGGCCCAGAGATAGAAAGAGCCATCGCCAGACGGCCGGGCAAGGCCGTGACAGAGCCCTTCCTGGCCTGAAGCCAGGCCTTCCCCGCCCACCTGGCAAGCAGGGGGAGCGGGGGGGGGGGGGGGGGGCCCATGGGCTGTGTCCTCTTCAAATTCCCACCCCAAAGACTCGAGGGCAAGAGCGGCTCTGTCTGAGGTAAAAAGAGCTACGTGACCTTGAGCAGGAGAATTTGCCTTTCGTGCCTCCATTTTCCCATCTGTAAAATGGGAATTATTACAAATCTTCTCACAGGCCCGCTGTGAGGAACTGATGAGACCGAGTGTGCCAAACACCCCACAATATTTCATGTGGGGCCTCATAGGCAGCAGACTCAGAAAATGCACCACCCTCTGTGGGCCCAATATAGTGAGGGGCAAACTCACTTCCACCCCAGGAACTCATCCGCTAGCTCACAATTACATATTTTTTGCCTCCCCTGGCTTGGTGCTGGGGTCCACGGGGTGAGCAAGTCAGCCCACACAAGGGTCCTAGGTCTTTAAAGGAATTTCCTAATTCTATGCCTCCTATCTTCTATTGTCCAAGATCATGTGACAATCATATGAGTCAACTCTTGTTTATTTTTTGACTTTCAAAGTCAGGTAGTTTAATTTCCTTGTCATATTTGAACTTCTTCTCACCCCACCCTGGCAGTTGCTAACATTTATGGGCATCCTGGGCCCTGGCTTTTGGGCTGGGTCTGCTCCCTGAGGGCCTTGCCCCCGCAGCTCACTCCCAGATTGCTGTTTCAAGAGCCGGGGCTGCTTCTGCCCTGTTAGCCCTGGGTTCCAGGGGACTGGCTCTGCTTCCTTTGGGATCTATCTACATTTCGGGGCACACCTAGAGGTCCTTCTTCCCTAATTATCTGATACACTATCAGACTTAAAGTTGACAAAGTTTAATGGCTGAGAAAAGACCCTTCTGGGAGCAGAGTCAGGGACAGGGGTTTCCAGTGTCAGATCTGTTACTAACTTGCTGGGTGGCCATTCCTCTCTCTGAAACTCAGTTTCTCCTCCTGTAAAATAATGGGGAGACCCATCACACCTAGCAAGTAGAAGGGACAGATAGGTCGAATTCAGTTCCTTGGTCATCTGGGTCTTGCTGGCTTCTTGGGGACTTACTCCTCTGAGCAGTAAGCACCTGCCCACCATGGAATCAGTGCGTGAATGACCAAGACATCGGATTCTGAGAGCAAAGTGCGTGGCCTGCGTGCTGATTCTCCTCTCCCCACTGTCCATGGCAGACATCACGAGTTGAGCCCCGAACTCCCTCCCTCCTCCCCCCCCCCCCCCCCCATGGGACCAGGATGTGGCCCGGGGATTCTCCTCAACATAGTTCTTCAAGTAGTCCTACCAGTCGATCGGTGCCAGCAAATGAAGAAACCCTTTTGCCATTATTGGATTATAATAAGCTTTCAGCTCGGAAATTCTAAGAATCGAAGGACGTACTCTGGGCAGAGGTTGGTTCTGGCCAGGACGTTCTCACTATTGCCTAGTGGTGAGAGAGGCCAGCAGCTTCCAACAGGACCAGAAAGGAAAGGGAGATTGGACAGTGGCCCCAGGCAATGCCCCAATTAATCATTTAGCTGTGGAGGTCAGGTGCTCATGATGCACACTAAGGATAGGGTCATAATGGGGCCATTAAAAACCAATTATGCGGAGTCCAGAGTCTGGGAGAGATTGCTGGTGTCAGCAGAGCCTCCTGGGCTCAGCCCCACTGGGTGCCAGCCCTGGGGCTAGGACAGAGATCTGGGGAGGAGAGCATCACCAGCTGACTGGTGTCACCCCAGGGCTGGAGGAGAAAGAGCTGGGGGGTGAGCTAAGGCTAGGGGTGGGTTGGCGGTGAAGAGTGGGGGGGGGGGGGCAGGAGGCAAACTTTTCCTCCAAGTAGGACCCGTTCTTAGGCTCACGTCTGGGGCCAGCAGGTGAGCAAGGGAGCTGGAGAAAAGATGCGCTTGGCCAGGAGGGGAGTGGCAGGAGGGGCAGATGGTGAAGGACCTTGAATGGCAGCATCCCAGCTGTGGGTCTGATGGCTGTGAAGCAGGGGAAATGACACGCTGACCTCGTGCGGTAAGGAGGGTCCCTTCTCCTCGCAGAAGCTGGGTTTCTCCATAGTAACGGAATGGACTGAACAGCGTGAGCTGGAAAACGCTGAGAGGCTGTTGGAGCTGTGCGGTAATTTCAGCAAGAGGTGAAGAGGGGAGAGTACAAAGAAAACCAGTGCGTGTGGGAATAGGGAAGGGGCGGACCGAAGCGGTGGGGGACACGTGGGGAGAGGAGGAGCCCCCGCCCCCGCACGGACCCAGCGAACCGTGGACCCGGCACCAGGCTAAGTACCACATGCAGAGGTGGTTGACGCTCGTTGCCCGAGAGTGTTTATTTAGTTTTTTTTTAAAGATTTTATTTATTTATTTGAGAGAGAGAATGAGAGACAGAGAGCACGAGAGGGAAGAGGGTCAGAGGGAGAAGCTGACTCCCTGCTGAACAGGGAGCCCGATGCCGGACTCGATCCCGGGACTCCAGGATCATGACCTGAGCCGAAGGCAGTCGCTTAACCAACTGAGCCACCCAGGCGCCCGCCCGAGAGTGTTTATTAAATGGCTCCTCTCATTCTCTGGATTTCCAGGCTTAGGAGACGCATTTTCTCCTCGCCCTACTTACGGTCCTTACCTCGTCTTCCCGAAAATCTATGAGCAAAGTATTATTATGATTGCCACTTTCCAGGGAAGGCAATCTGAACCTCAGAGAGGTCCATTCACTTATCCAGGGCCACACAGCCAGTAAGCGGAAGATTCAGAACACTGGACAGGCAGTGAGCAGCTCTTGGGCAAGTGCGGACGAAAATCGGATTCATAGCAGCACACGCACCGAGCACCTCATAGGGGCCAGGCACTGCTCTAAGTACTCCACGTGACTTGTTCCACTTCAGGGTTACAACCTGAGGGGGCGGCTCCTATCACAATGCCCATTTTCACCAGCAGACTGGGGTTCAGAGAGGCTCGGTCACTTGCCTCAGATCACCCAGCCGGTGATGGGTGAAGCCTGCATTTGAATTAAAGTGTGTGCCTCTGAAGTCGCCGTGGAAGGGAAGGCTAAGAGAGGAAGGTGGGTGGCAGAAGGAAAGGACAGCAGCTGGGGGTGGGCCACGAGGCTTCGCGGTGGCAGGACAGGCGGAGAGAATGCTCTTACGGCACCCCTCTTCCCTCGTGTCTGGTGGGCACAGCCTCAGGTTTGGCGTCCGTCCGTGGGCCTTGAGCTCAGGGCTGGAGCTCGCCCCGCATATCCCCCGGGCAGGGGCCAGGAGCTGACAGCACGTCCTCCAGTCAGTCCTCAGGGCCTCAGGTGCAATGTCGATCAGAGAAGTCCTCCCCCATCCCCTCCCTGGGGCCCACCAGGGGCCGGTGTGACAAGCCTCCATCAGTGCAGGCTTGGGGGTGGGGGGGCATATTGTGGGCAGGGGCTGAGAGGAACCCCGGGGGTGTCCGAAGCACTTGATTCAGCAAACCACCAACAACCCAAACCGGAAAAGCTCTTCTGGACTCATTTCACAGATAAGGAAACTGAAGCCCAGAGAGAGGAAACGACTTGACCCTTATCCCATGGGGAGCCAGCGGCAGGTGCCCCCACCTAGGCCCAGGACTGCAGAAGGAAGGAAGACAGGAAGGAAGGGCCGGTTTGGGAATGCGGTGGCGTGACAGAGGGGATTATGGGTGGGTGGGGGGCACAGGGTGTGGGCAGCTGACAGGGCACCAGTGTTGATCCCCAAGGGTGTGCCAGGAAGCTGGGGAGCTCCCCTTTTCACACCCTTGTCCCAGCTGAGGGACAGGGAGGGACATCCATTCATCCAACCAACATTCACTGAACCTCTACTGGGCCCTGGGCCCTGAGCGGGGCTCAGACAACCCAGACAGAATGAGACCCGGGCCTTGCCTTCACGGCGCTCACAGCAGAGGAGAGAGACATGTAAGCAAACAATTATGTCTGGGCTTCCTCGATGACTGATTAGAGACACAGCCTTAGTCTCGGCAGAATTGGAGCTGAGCGCAGGGAGGAGGCGACGTCGGGTTTATTTTGATAGGGGTTCTGGAAGCCATCCTGCATGCACATCTATCTCCTGGCCTTGGGCTGCCCCATACGAAGGCCCCCCCTCCACTCTGTGCCCAGTGGTCCCCATGAGGGCTGAGGAGGACACCAGTTAGGGCCCAGTTGGGCTGTAATCACCAGAAAAGTGGCTTTCTCCCTGTGGGATCCTGCCCCCCACCCCCAGCGCTCACAATCAGCCCGCAAATGCCCGGTCACGAGGGTGTGATGCTCACGAATACAGATGGCGCGGGGACCAGAGCAGTGACTCCGGGGTCAGGGCAGGTATGGCGTGGGGAGGGTGGCAGCTCAGGATTTCTCAGTAACAGCTCTGCAAAGCCGGCAAGGGCCAAAAGGAACAGCTGTGTTCTGTGAGGGTAAGGGAAAGGCCGGGCAGGGACAAATGCGGGGTGTGGGGGGTGGGGTTTGCAAGAAAAAAGTCTTCGGTTAGCGGAAGGAAGAACTTTTTTTTAACATCGGGACGGTGGATGAGCCGCCTCTCAGAGGTATGCAGGCTGGAATTATGACCCTGTGGTCACCAAGAATTCGGAGGAGGGACTTTGACTCCAGCAGGAAGTTGTGAGAGAGATGGTCTCTGAGATTTGGGGATAATGATAATAATGGCAGTTGTGACTCATTCCACCCCCCCCTGCCTCACCACGGTGCGGCTCCAGATGCCCAGAGGGCGGTGGGAGCTAGTTTGGGCTGTGACAGGGTACGGCGAAGCCAAGATGGGACACTTGGGACTTGAACCCATGACCCGGAGCCCAAGGACCCTCTTTACCTCCTCACCAGCCCCCTCGCAAGAATCCCTGGGGCGAGCCAGCCCTGAGAAAATTACCACCCAATACCTTGTCCCCTGCTCCTCGCTCAACCCCTACAAAACAAGAGGAAACGAAACACAAAAAAACAACTGCATCCTGTTCTGGCCTGTCCCCACACAGGGTGTGGCTGGATTGGTGTCCTCAGGCAGAAGTCCCTTTCTTTCCATCTATGGGTCTCAGTTTTTGTCAGTAAAATACAGCCCTGGACTTGGAACGGCCCTTGCAGCTCTCCTGCTATCAGACAATCCCATACGTACAAGGTAACTGGGGTCCCTGCCTGTGCAGACAAAACAGAGGCCACCTGAGCTCAGACTCCTGGGACCTGAGAGGAAGGTTCCTGACCGAGAACTACCGGGGCTGAACGGGTGGTGGGTTCCATTCTACTCTCAGGCGGGAGAATTAGCGCGCGAGGTGGGGGCAGGGGGCTGGGTCCCTGGCTCTGCTGTTCCGGCTACCGCCAGACGGGGTCGCTGTTGGAACCAGTCCTTGCTCACCCACCGCCCCGCTGCCGAGCTTGGGACTCAGTGTCCGCTGTGTTAAGTTCCCGTTCACCTGTTCAGTCATTATCCCCAAATCACGACGCCCCGCGAGGGCTTCCGGCCGAGTTCGAGCTAGCTAGAACCAGCCTTTTCCAGGAATCTCAGGCCTGGGTATCGAGACTGGAGCACCAGCCTGGCTCCTCGTAAGTGGACACTAGGTGAAAGACTTTTGCAGTCTAGCCAAGAAAGATGTTCATAGCCTCCAAGTGGCGGTCTCCAGAACCAGGCTGAGGAGCTGAGACTCTTCCTTGGGGAAGGAGAAGCACCCCAAGAAGTCGTGGAAGTCAGGGGCACAGTGCCTACATCTGCACCGTTCACAACTGCCTGTCACTGGTCCACAGTCGTTAGATGCTGGTGAAGGGTAAGCCTGGGACCAGGCCCATTCCAGCTATGGTGGAAAGATGGGAAGAATTACTTACAGGGCCTGCCTCAGGGCTCCCAGGCTGCACAGAGGACTTGGACTTGGCCTTGGCCATGGGAGGAGGCAGAGGGTTAAGCAGGAAAAGGGACAGAAGCCTGTGGTGTGGTATCAGAGTGCAGGTCCCACCTTCCCCCCAGGAAAGAACATGACATTTGCTGAGTGCCTACCATATGCAAAATGCCGCACCACTGGATTTCCTGCAGGGGCAGTCTTTTTGGCTGAATCCTTCCCAGAACCCTGTGGGGTAGGTGCTATCATGGCCTCCACTTTTTAGATCAGGACACTGAGACTCAGAAAGGTGAGGTGATGTGCCCAAGGGCGCACGAGAGCTGACCCAACGAGGGTCAGGCTCCAAATCCTGCGTTTTCTCCAGCCCACACCCCAAAGACGCAAGACAATTCCTGGTCTGGGTCCTTGCTCACCAGAGAGGCAGGAGAGCATGGAACCCTGGCACCACCCATGTAGCTGTGTGACCTTTTGTAGAGTGACTTTACCTCTCTGTGCCTGAGTTTTCTCATCGGTAGAATGAGGGGTAATAGTAGTACTTACCTCAAGGTTGTTGTCATGATTAACTGAATTTATAAATGTAAATCACAGAGGATGATGTCTAGCTCATGGTGAGTATTAAATATATATGTATTAGCTATTCATCTTATTACTCTCATTATCATACTTGGGGCAGGGTGGCGTTCACATCACCTGGGAGAGTCTTACCAGGCCTCTAAGTTAGGATTTGCATATTGGAAAGAAGTTGATTATTATTGTTGAAGAAGAGTCCTAAGGATTTATCCAGATACCAGAGTTGCATGTTGAAAAGTTTAGCAGGTATGAACCGACAACCCAAACGTGGATGTGAAAGGTGTGTCACGGGGCGCCTGGATGGCTTAGTCAGTTAAGCGTCCAACTCTTGATTTTGGCTCGGGTCGTGATCTTGGGGTCATGTGATCCAGCCCCGCATGGGGCTCAGCGCTGGGCATGGAACCTGCTTAAGATTCTCTCTCCCTCTCCCTCTGCCCCACCCCCCTCTAAAAAAAGAAAGAAAGGAACGGAGGGAAGGAGGAAGGATGGAAGGAAGGAAGGAAGGTCACATTTACTGATACTATTTAAATGAAATCTAACTTTGGGTCCTGATCCCACTGGGCCTGTGGAAAATTCCATTCCAGTTATTCCTGGGGCCCCTGCATGTTTCGCTTATCTACTGCTGTATAACAAACCGCCCCAACACATAGAGGCTTAAAAAACAGCAATCATTCTCTCACTCACAAACCCGCAGTCTGGGCAGAGCTCAGTGGGGGCAGCTGGGTTCTGCTTCGTTTAGGATCAGTGGAGGCAGCATGACCAGAGGCTGGAGGATTTGCTTGCAAGATGGCTCGGTCCCATGGCTGCCAAGTCGGTGCTGGCTGTCAGCTGGGC